AGAGGTCATCCAGACGGGCGCCTTGGTCTCCTCTTGCACACAAGCACCGTCCTCGGTGGAGACAACAAGGGAGCAGGTTTCGGCCTCGAGGCGCGCCTCCTTCCAGGAAAGTTTGGCCTTCTCTCGCATGCTTGAGCGTCGGATAGAAGCACTGCGAAACAGAGAATAAAACGCCAATTAGAAGAAGCATAAACGTGCATAGGAACAAACCAGTGATGATACCCAAATGCTTCAAGGTGTCTACGTACAGTTCCGCCCGATAACAAAATGCGATCTGTCACAACCTTAAATAGTGGTGGTGTTTTAGGCGTGAATTGGTCCACAGCCAAGGGCAACACCCGCTTCTCTTTCATATCTACTGGGACAAAACTAAAGCCAAAATGGATGGCTTGACATTAAAAAAACCGCAAAAGCTTGCCGTGACATGGCTGGCTAGGTCTCAGGTACAAATTCATTGGTGTGGGACGGTTTCATTTGGTAGTCTAAACGTTTATCGAGATGTGTCACTGCTGCGCCCGTAGAGGTAGAACTGAGAGCCCAACGTCAGATATCCCAAATGAATACCTTAAGTAGCCAAGCAATTCAGTCTACATTATTGAGAGAAAGAGGAGGAAAAAATGCCAGTGTAGATTAACTAACGTAAATAATACCCGAAGGAGAAGCGAAACATTGATGGACATACATTTTTAGGTCAGACCTGTGCAGTGAATGCTGCAGACCACTGTGAAGATGCTTTCGCTGTGTGATAAACTTGAGTACTTACAGATTTCTAGCCGGGGGCATTTAGTATTAGGACCAAAAACAGTACATAGTAAAATCAATAAACTAACCGAACATAAGAACCCCCCAGTAAGACCGCGTTTGGTAGAATGACCGATCAAAAGTCTAATGAAAAGTCACAGTCAAAATCGACTAGATCAGCTTTGGCGAACAGGTGTTTCAGGTTAATAATAATCAGGGTCTTATATAACCTATACGTAAGGATGCAGATAGTTGGGGCAGGACTTGGAAAACCGATGGTGGCGGAAGGACTGGGAAAGAACGGACTGCTCTTTAAGCTGACGGCAACAGGACGAAGGGAGGAGCACTAGAGATGGGCCTTAGAGGGGAGAATGACTGAGGTGGAGTCCGTGGCCTCATTCGAAGTTAGGGGTGGGGGGGCAAGACGGCGTAATGGAGTCGCCCAAGGGCGTTAACTGTTTGAGCACATCAGTCATCGGCGTTTTTATCAACTGCAGGTATATGGCACACAAGAAAGCCGACCGCCTCCACTGTCGACAGTTTGCATTAGGGTGGATGTTTCAACCCGCCAAAATCACTCTCAACACACCATACACCATAAATAATACAAGCTATATGACGATTAATTGCAAACGTGCGTTCGCATTAATTGACTTACTCAAACAGTGGGAGGACCTACTACAACAAAGGCTGAGCAATTTTATATTTCTAAAACTTCTGACTATTAAAATTCATTGAGCAAGCAAACCTCCGTCGTTACGTCTGTTTTAGTAGAATCATTTGAAGTGCAGACTTATAAATTTATGCACTTTCATCTAGTCATCAGAGAGAGAAGTAAAGTAAGCGTGTACAATTAAATTCCGCAAAATCGGGAACAAATGTTCGTCGTCGACTGGATATGAACTCCTCACCTCACCTCAAAATATCGGATGGTCTGCCCCCTTGACCATCGCACCACGCCGCTAATATATACTCTCAAGAGCATAGCCAGGATCACGGATGTAAGCCGCTTGCTACTTCCTTCAATCAAAACCCCCCCTCCCAGAAATAGCACAATCGCTTTCGGTAAGGCTTGACAAAACCCAATGCGTCAGGGCTGCAAACAACGCCATGGAAGTATTACCGAAAGGGCGTTTGAAGTTTCCGAAAAAATTTCTACGACTGCTTAGTTCGACCCAACCTAGACTATAACATACAGGCGTGGCGGCCATGGCTCGCTCGTGGAAACGAGGTCTTCACTATACGCTTGGAAGATTACATGTGCCCCCCCTCGCCTACTGTCCATCGATAGATTGAATTCGAACTAATAATACAGTAGTCGCCGGCTATTAAGCCCGCCTCGGGCCCAGACCAAATTGGGCT